CTTGGTTCTTTGTGAAGCTGACTGTCTCTGACATTGCAGCACCAACCCCCATCACAGAAGAATGCAAAGCAGGGCCATAAACTGGCTTGTTTTGCCATATGGAAATTATGAAAATTGTTACTCGCTGCACGGAACACCTGTGGAAATAAGGTTTTGAATTTGAATGCCTCAAGGCAGATGGCAGAACAGACAGTGCCCCCTCCCCTCCTGTCTTCTGCAGCACGCGTCCAGCTGGTGCTTCTGAGGAAACTCTGGATTTGTGTTTTGGAGACGTGTGGCCTTCAGATGCACCATGGCTAATTTTAAAAGCATCTGCTGCTGTTTGTAGGTCACGAGGACAGAGCCGTATGCTTCCTGCAGTTAGTACAGAGAGTTTTACAAATCTAAGAGCATGGTGGCTCATATCTGTAACCCAAGCCCTGGGAATATCCTGAGTTTGGGGCCAGCCTGGAGTACATAGTTCTAAGCCAACCTGAGCTACATATAGAGACCCTGCTTTAACTAAAAACCTAGGAGCTCAGTTGGTAAAGTAATTGCCTTGCAAGTATGAAGATCTGGGTTTGGTCCCCCGAACCACATGGAAACTGGGGCAGGATGACTCATGCTTACTACCATAGTGACGGAGAGGAAGAGACAGGCAGGGTCCTGGGGGTTCACTGGCCAGCCAGTGTGTCCTTACCGGGGAGCCACCAGCCAGTGTCTGAGGACAGCAACCTAAGGTTGACCTCTGGACTCCACATATGCATGTGCACACAGGTACACTCATGTGTACCTATACATATACCCACATCCACACCCAATCTAGGAGTTCTAGATATTACTTAGAAAAAAGCCTAATTTCTTTGATAGGTTAGTAATGTTTGAAAAAAAATTTCCTTCTGTTAGTCTATGAGATACTTAAAGCTATGTCAGGTTACTTTAAAAATAAGACTTTTTTCATTCTATTTTGATTTTTATATATAGGAATATTTTGCCTGCATGTAAGTGCCCACAGAGGCCAGAGAGGGCATTGGACTCCCTGGAACTGGAGTTACAGACAGTTGTTAGCCACCATATGGGTGCTGGGACCTGAACCCAGGTCCTCTGGAAGAGCAGCCAGTGCTCTTAACTGCTGAGCCATCTCCAGCCCCCAAGCAGGTGGATCTCTGTGAGAGTTAGGCCAGCCTGGTCTACATAGTGAGTTCCAGGGCAGCTGCGGCTACAGGGAGACCCTGTCTCAAAAAGACCAAAAAAAAACCCAACCATTTCTTATCTCACTTCCCCACACTCCCACACTGCCAGATTTGTGTTGCTCCCCACTTTGACCAGAGAGGCTCTTCACAGTGGGAAATTGTCAAGGCAGAGACTCATGACCGGCCCGAGTGCCGAGTATGAGCAAGCACGGGTGAGCCACCTGCATTACCAACCCTTCTGTCTTGAAAAAATTAGATTATATGCTGCTTTAAACACATAGATGGTCTTATTGTCATGGCTCAGGATTATTGAAGGTGTTGAGATATAAAATTCTGGGTCTATAAAATAAGAGGCACCAGACTTCTGTGTTTTGGAGACTGGAGGTTCTGATAAGTTTTCTGGCTGTTAGTTATAGAAATACAGTGAGAGCTATTGATGCGCTTCTATCTAAAGCATGCTATCCTTATTCAATTTTTGCTTCTAATATTTTTAAAAATATTTTTTACTTATTCTTTGACAGTTTCATGTACGTATACAATGTATCTTGATCATCATCTCCCCCCACCCCCTCACCAGGAGCCCACCCCTTATATCCCCCCCCCTTCTTTTTTCAATAACCCGCTGGGTCTGGTCAGTGCTGCCTGCTGGAGTTAATTGATCTTGCTGACTTGACCTTCTGCCGATCTTTTCGAGTAACCATAGCTGTTGTGAGCTCCTGAGTGCAGTGGTCACATCCGGAGGACAGCATCTCACAGCTCTCGTCCTCTGGCTCGTACATTATTTCCCACCCTCTCTTCTGCAATGTTCCCCAGGCCTTGGTGGGGGGTTGATATAGACGACCTGTTTGCTTTCAGTTTTTTGTGGGCAGAGTGCTGGTCAAGCTTGTGGGAACAGTACATGAATTTAGAATGTGAACTTGGCATGTGATATCTGACCCATGAGTACTTGGCATGGCTGAGTTACTGTTTTAGCTGTTCAAAAGACTTTGAGGAAGTGACTCAGGAGGTAAAGTGCTTGCTGTGCAAGCTTAAGCACCTGACCTCAGACCCCCAGCACCCACAAAAAGCCATGGCTGCATGTGCCTGTAATCCCAGCCCTGGGAAGACAGAGATGGGATGATGCCAAAAGTTTGCAGGCCAGCCAGTGTCACCGTACTGGTCGATGTCTCAAAAACAAGAAAATAAGGTAGGGAGGAATTCAGGAAGAACCTGTCATATTCATTGTCTCTGTCTCTCTCTCTTTCTCTAGCTCTCTCATATTTACTTTTATTCTATGTGTATGGATGTTTTGCCTGCATGTATGTAAGCGTACCACATGCATGCAGTGCCTATGGAGACCAGAAGAGGGCGTTTGATCCCCTGGAATTGAAGTTTCAGATGGTTGTTAGCTACCATGTGGTTGCTGGGAACCCATCCCAGGTCCTCTACAAGAGCAGCCAGTGCTCTTAACCACTGAGCCATCTCCCAAATGCCCTCCTCGGGGGGGGGGGCTTATTTTCTTATTCTTGGCTATATTTCAAAGATTAGAGTTATCACTAAGTAATATTTCGTTATGTAATTTGATGAGTTAAATAGGCATTTTCTTCCTATTTACATTATTTGAGGGATAAGATTTTAAAAGTTACTGAGAAACAGATTTTAGGTATTAGGTATCTAGGTTTTAGCTATTAGAAAGATAGCTTTTATCTTGATTTTTGAGGTAAGATCTCCTTACATAGCCAAGGATAGCCTGGAACTTGTGATCCTCCTGCCTCAGCCTCCCAAGTGCTGAGATGACAGGTGTGCCCCTCCACACTCAGCTTAGAAACAAGTACTTCTTATTTCAGAGAATGGTATATGGGACTGGACACTGCCCCGACGACCCGAACTCGGCTGCACGGTTGGGCAGTTGGTCACTGTGCTGGTCTGAGCACGGCTTTACGGTCTCACGGCTATTACCTCAGGGCCCTGGGCACAGTGTTCTCATGACTTCAGAGCCACTTGTCCCTAACTCTAGGGCTGCAGCAGAGGCTTGACGAGAAGGAGTTCTGTGTTGGAGGCTGGACCGAATGTTGTCTGAAGTGGTTTCCCTTTGTTCTGTGCTTGCTGTACATGGGATGAAATACAAGCAAAAGAAACAACTTGTCAACTTGTCAACGTTAGGCGAGTGTTCGACCCCGAGCTACACCCCAGTCTGATACTTCATTAAAAAAATGTATTTATCATGTGTGTGTGTGTGTGTGTGTGGTTACAGTAGTCACGTAGAAGTCAGAGGACAACTTTAAAAAAAAAATTAATTCATTGAGAACTTCATACATGCATATAAGGTGTTTTGATCAATTCCATATCCACTCCCTCCCCTCCAGCTCCTCCCATATCTCCCCTTCTTCTTTTATTCTTAAAAAATTTTTATTGAGAATTTCATACACGCATATAAGGTGTTTTGATCAAATCCATGCCCACTCACTCCCTTCCAACATTCCCACCTCTGAAGAGGTAACCCTAAAATCTTTTAAGGATTAGATACAAACTTCCAAATACTTTTGACGTTTTGGCCTTTGGAACAGAGTATGTCGCTAACAGGCCCAAGGACATTTTGACTTTTAGCCAAGAAACTGGCCACTTTTCTTTGGATCTTTTTACCCTAACTGCCTAGCCAGTTCCTACCTCCTATTCTCATCACACCATCCTCCGAAGAGGTTACCCAGCTTGCGGATAGGGAATCAGGACACAGACTGCTCTGGCTTCTTCCATATGCTGAACAGGGGACACAGGGTGAGGCAACTGGAGTACCCCTTCAGTGGGTTTATCTAAAAGACTCCCAAATTGCACGACTCTTATCTCTAAAGGGAAAAGAGAGTCCTTGAATTGTGAATAGAAGATGTGAAGGAGAAGTAAAGACAAGAGTAATTAGCATCACAAGTTCTAGACAGGGAACTAGAAAAAAGTCAGAACAGGGCACATTTCAAATGTTCATATGAGAGTCCATTGGAATTTCTTGACAAGGCCTTCCAAAAGCATCCCTCTATTTGGTTCCTCCTCGTTTTCCTTTTGTCTGCCAAGACTGGACTCGAAAGTGATGGATTCAGGATTGCTTTCAGGTGTTTTGATAGCTGTTGGAGTGGTTAGAGTCAGTGTCAGTTCCCTCTCAAAGGCTTCTAGCTAGGGGGAAAAAAAATTTTATCCATCGTTTTAGAACAATAGTTGGTTAGGACAATTTTTTTTAAAGTTTATTTTTATGTGTATGAGTGTTTTGTCTGCATGTATGTAAGTCCACCCATGTCATAGAATGCCCATGGAGGTCAGAAGAGGGCATCAGATTCCCTGGAACTGGAGTTATGGACAGTTGTTAGCCACCATGTGGGTGCTGGGAACTGAACCCAGGTCCTTTGCAAGAGCAGCCAGTGCTCTCAACCACTGAGCCAGGTCTCCAGCCCCAAAGGACAACATTTTTGTGGAGCTGATTCTCTCTTCACTAGGGTGGAACTCAGAACATCAGCCTTTGCTGTAAGAGCTTTTCGCACGGCCACCTTGCCAACCTGTTTTCCTATTTAAAGACTGAATAATTTAGTCACTGCTAAGAGACAATTCACTTGCACGTATTGGGTTAGGTTTAAATACCCAAAGGTGACAGGGCTTAGCTATTCTAGTCTGCTCTTCAAAGGCCCTAAGTCTTAAAAATTGAGACTCCATTCTATGAAGTCTCTACAATGTCTCCTTTTGGTGGTGGGGGTGGGGAGGGAGAAGGCAACGTGAAGCTGTAAAAGCAGATAGAAAGATGAAAGGAATTATGAGAAGGAAGGGTTAAGCATGGTCATATTCAGCTGGTTGTAAATTCTTTCTTCATAGCAACGATTGAGTTACGTCAAAAGCAGTTCATTGAAGGACGATTCCGGGGCTTGCTGTTTGAGGTAAAAAAAAAATAAATAAATAACCCACCCAAACAAAAACCGTGGGGCACACCCACTCACTTTCAGGAAGATGTCCGGCTCGTTTAAGGGTTTGATGCAGGTTTAGCAGAACACCAGGGAAGGGCTCATGTCAGCAAGTGGCTGATGCCACTGACAGGGAAGCAGCTCAGCAGAGGTTTGGTTGACTATACTGTGTCTGTTCACAGAGCATCTGCTCTTCAGTCAAGGACCCTCTTTAATTTTTTTTTTATTTTTGTGTTATGTGTATGAGAGTATCACCTGCATGTATGTATGGGCCCCTGTGTCCTGCAGTGCCTGTGGAGGTCAGAAGAGAGTGTCAGATCTCCTGGAACTGGAGTTATAGATGGTTGTTAGCTGCCATATGGGTGCTGGGAATTGAACCCGGGTCTTCTGCAAGAGCAGCCAGTGCTCTTAACTGCTGAGCCATCTCTCCAGCCCCAGGAAGCCTCTTTAATAGGACAGGCATCCTTTGAGCTATGATCACATGTGGAAATTTTGAGTACCTCTGAACAGGCTTTATCTATTTGGGGTGGGGGGTGATGGTGGTGGTGCGGGTGCGGGTGTGTGTGTGTGTGTGTGTGTGTGTGTAGGCCAGAGGTTGATGCTGAATGTCTTCTTCAATCACTCCTTCACCTTATTTATTTACTTATTTATTTAGACAGTAGCCCCAACTGGCCTGGAACTTGCTCTGTAGACCAGGCTAGCCTTGATCTCATGGAGATCCACATACCTCTCTGTTTCTTGAGTGCTGGGATTAAAGATGTCCATTACCATGCCTGTCTCCACCTTATTTTTTGATACAATTTTCTCATGGAACTTGAAAGTTCACCAATTCCGCCAGAATAAGCTGGGAGGTGAGCCCCCAGGATCTGCCTATCTCCAGTCCTAGGATTTCTGTTGCACATCACCAGATCCAGTGGATGCTGGGATCTGAACTCAGGTTCTCCTGTCTGGGGGAGGAGTGTTTTACTGACAGAGCCACCTCCCCAGCCACTGATCAGGCTGTGGGGCTTTCCCCCTTTCCTTCTATTTGAATTAAATTTTCAACAACTGTTCTAAAGTCGGATATATTTATTTCCATTATGAAGCTGAATTTCCTTTCTGATTCATAAATGAAGAACGTGAGGAGATGGTAAGATCGGCACAGAAGGAAAGAGACGGGAGGGAGAGGGAGAGGAAGAGAGGATATCTGCATCTACCTCTTTCTGGGATCCTTAATATAGACACATCTGTTTAAACAGGAGAATTAGTCACATGGAAAACTTGGCTAGACACAATATCTGAAAAGCTCCTGCGATAAGCCGAGCTGGAAAACTCTCCATGTCTGTATGGGCTTTAGACAGGCGTGGTGTGCATCTGTAATCCCAGCATGCCTGATGTGGAAGGCAGGACCTCAAGGCTAGCCTCAGTGACCCAGAGAATTCAAGGCTAATTTAGTCATCTCAAAACCAGCATTTGTAGTGATGTTAACTGTGATAGATAAGCATCTACTTCTTGGATTGAGGCCACAATTTCACTACTATAATGTTTTAAGTTATACTTATTTGTGCGTGCATGTGTGTGGGTGGGTGGGTGGAAGTGTATACAGGCAAAGGGAGGTGTGGGGGTCTGATGTGGTGGTCAGAGGACAACTTGTGACAGTCGGTTTTCTCCTTCCACCATGTGGGTTCCCAGAATTGAGCTCAGGTCACCAGGCTTCGTAGAAAGCACATTGACCCACTAAGCCAGCTCATCTGCTCCTTAAAATTTTAAACACTATTTTTGCCACTGTGAACTGTGTCTCTACAAGCGACTTTGTCCTCTGCCTAAAGATTTCTATGACAAAGCCATTCAGCACCCTGTTCAAAGTTTGGATTTTATCCCTAACTTGACTGTGAGAAACACAGTGGGAGATTTCCATTACAACCCTGATTTCCTCAAAGCAGAGTAGAAATTGGGAACTGGTGACTTTCACCCACTGGAGGCTGAGGGTCTGCTCCCAGGTGTATGACTTGTGCCTTCAATATGCTCCACCGTTGTCTCCCAACAGAGCTTTTTAGATGGACACTTTCTTCATGATGACCCACTGTCCGGCACAGAGAAATGTCAGCTTTTCCTAGGAAAATTGGTAAGTGTGAACTTTTTGAAATTATTTAGGTAACAACTGCAAGTCAGCTATTATGATAAAATAGAAACAGCTGTGTATAAGACAGTACCCAGAGAAATCTATTTTTATATTTAAATTTAATTTTTAAATTTTATTTTATGTGTGTATTTTGCCCACGTGTATGTCAGTGCCCCTGTGTCATGAAATGCCTGAGGAGGCCAGAAGAGGGTGGCCTTCTCTTCACTTTTTACTTTTTGTTTTGAGACAGGGCCTCACAAGTAGTCCAGGCTGGCCCTCCACTTGTTTCATATCTCAGGCAAGACTTGAACTTGAGATGCTCCTGCCTCTGTTTCCCAGGTATTGAGGTCATAGGTCTGCACCACCGGGCCCAGGTTAAATAAGAATTCTGATTTTTTCCTATGCTATAGCTTTTGATCAAAATCCAAAAGTCTTTTCACTTCACGTCACTTCTTTTCTCTTTTCTCTTCATCTCTTTTCTTTCTCTTTCCATTTTTTGGGTTTTTTAATTTTAATTTACGTGTATGAGTGTATTGCCTGCATGTATGTAAGTGCACCCACGTCGTGCAGTGCTCAGGAGGTCGGAATAGGGCATCAGATTCCCTGGAACTGGAATAACGGCTGACCGTTACCTGCCTTTAGGGTGCTGGGAGCCCAACCTGGGTCCTCTGCTGGAGCAGCCAGTGCTCTGAATTGCTGAGTGTCTCTCCGGCCCTTGTTTTTGTTTTATTTTTTATTTTATTTATTTATTTTTGGGGGCGTCTTTTTGAGACAAGGTCTCCTAGTAGCCCCAGCTGTCCTGGAACTCACTATGTAGACCAGGCTGGCCTTGAACTCACAGAGATCCACCTGCCTCTGCCTCCCGAGTGCTGGGATTAAGGGCGTGCGCCACCACACCTGGTGTTTTTGCTTTATTTTTATTTTGAGACGGTCTCCCTGTAGCCCCAGGTGTCCTAGAACTCCCCATGTAGACCAGGCTGGTCTTGAACTCACAGAGATCCGCCTGCCTTTGCCTCCCAAGTGCTGGGATTACAGACATGTGGCACCCTGTCCAGCCACGACTGCTTCTTCCTGACCTCTTTCCCACAAGATCATCGAGCACAGTCATGTACTGTCCACTTTTGACCCTAAAGGAAACATATTGGGAACTATGGGATGGTACTGTTCTTTAGACTGCCAATAACGCTTGGTTTTCTCTTCAGAAGCCGCCTCACCACAGGCCACATAGGAGTGAAGAAGCAAGGACTCCTCGGGCACCCTTGGCCTTGAAACCTAGGCTCCAGTACGCAGCCCTGCTAGGTGAGTACATGTGGTTTTTCCAAGCCACATTACGGTTCTGTCTTAATAAAGACACAGCCTGACTCTTGGCGTTCATTTTAAGGCCAACAGTGGACCTCACCTCTGAGGACCACCTTCAGATGTCTCATGGAACTGTGCTCACCAGTCAGGCCTCACTCATACTTTTATTGAAGTAGTCTTTCCAGCAACAGTTTGGGAGGTAGAATCCAGGTTCCACCCTCATCAGAGAATCTTGCCCTTTGATCCCTAGGTCTGAAATACCTCACACAATATCAAGGAGAGGTCTCAGTTACTCTCACTGTTTTCAGTAAGAAAAACGTGCTGCTTACAATCACGCCCATACTCATTCACTGTCTTAGGTGGAAGGGAGAGTGGGGTTCTGCGAGCTTAAGGTCCTTTGAATCACAGGAGGCACCTCTGGCTCAGTGAGCTTGTGCACACTACAAACAGTAACATTTTTGGTTGCAAGGTTAGGTGGAAATCATTAGTCCAGATTACGTTCATAGTGTAAGTCACTCCTAGCAGTACCAATAGGTCCTTCCCTTTCTTCTGCCCACACATAGGTGGAGAGGGGTTCCATGAGACAGAAAATAATCAGAGGTACATTTGTCTTGCAAGAGCGTTTGGGTATTTGGATATTTGTCTATGGATTTGATCAATAGATACTTGAACATCTACTCCATCCCAGGCACTGTGCTATGTATGATGAAGGACACATCCTGGGGCTGGAAAGATGGCTTAGCAGTTAAGAGCACTGGCTGTCCTTGTAGAAGACCCAGTTTTGAATCCCAAAACCCACATGCTGATAACAACCATCCATAACTCCAGTTCCAGGGGCTCCAACAGCCTCTTCTGTCCTCCTTGGGCATTTCACGGCACAGATACACGTACACACATGCAGGCATAACACTCATATACATAATATAAAAATTAAATACATTTTTTTAAATTAAAAAATAACAAGTCCTAAAATAGCTCAGAGATGAGTCAAGGTCAAGACCTAGGTTCAGAGACATTGGAGAAGATTCCATAGAAGCAGAAGTTAAGTAGACTGGAAAGATGGGATTAATTTGGAGAGGTGAGGAAAGAATTCTGATGGGTGGAATGCTAACAAAACCAGTAATAGAGAAGATGAAAGCTTCACCTGTTTGGAGAGTCAAAGGTAGATTCAGAGGATTTGGTAGAAATCAGTCCAGAGAAGGGAAAGCAGGTTGTGGGTGGACCTGGGAATTGTTCCCCACCAGCCAGGCTAAGGTAAAAGAACTGCATCCTGGGAACTACTCGGAGCAGACAGTACCCGGCACCACCTTGTATAGGGAAGGCAGAGCTGGCATGGTTCTGAAATCACAAAAGGGGTGGGTGATCATCAAGATAAACTTACAAAGGAACCAAAAGTGATTTGTGGGTCATTTGAACTAGACGAGACACCAGAAGACCTGAGCAGTTGAACATTGCTTGTGTCCAGTGCTTTAAGTACTGATTTACTCCTTTTATCCCCTCCACAACCTGATGGTGCAGATGCCAATGCAATTCCCATTTGGTTGCATTTACTTTGGTGGGGCTGAGGATGGAACATGCTGGGAAGTGCTTAACTCCTAGCTACCCCCAGCCCCTGGAACTCCCACTTTAAAGATGAAGAAATAGAGGAACATTAAGTTAAAAATCTGCCTGAGATCATGTATTAATTTCCATATACATAAGTCGAAGGTCTGGGTGGGGAAGGTATCTGCAACCACATAACGTACGTGAGGCCAAGCCAAGATTCGAACTAAAATACTGTGATTGATACCAAGCCCTGTTTTTGTTCTTTTGTTGTTGTTGCTGTTTGTTTTTGTCGTTTTGAGACAGGATCTCCCTGTAGCCCCAGCTGTCCTGGAACTCACCAGGATGGCCTCTGCCTCCCAAGTGCTGGGATTAATGGCATGTGCCACCATGTCTGACTCAAAACCTGTTTATTTTTTTTTTAATTATTTTTATTTTTATTTACCTATGTGTGCTCAGGTGCCTCTGGAGACCACAAGAAAGTGTCAGATAGGGCTGGAGAGATGAACCAGCAGTTAAGAACACTGGCTGTTCTTCTAGAGGACCCGGTTTGGTTCCCAGCACCCACATGGCAGCTAACTGTCCATAACTCCAGTTCCAGGGGATCCAACACCCTCTTCTGGCTTCTGTGGGCCCTGCATGCATGTGGTGCAGTTACATACTTGCAGTCAAAATACTCATACACATAAAATAAAAATAATAAGTAAAATATTTTTTAAAAGGTGTCAGATCCCTTGGAGCTGGAGTTATAGGTGGTTGTGAACTGCCCAATGTAGGTTTTGGGAACTGTCCTCTGAAAAAAAAAAACCAAGAAGTGCCCTTAACCCCTGAGCCATCACTCCAGTCCAAATATCCCCAAAGTAATGACTCTTCTTCTCAGCCTACTCCCAGTACCGCTGTTGATCACGGGTTCTGCTCACAGTGTCTAACACCTTTCCTCCTTAAAGAATAAGAAAAATTGTTCTGAAAGTTCAGAGTTAGTGCTGTAGTCCTTTCAAGCCATCTGGTCTCTCTGCTCACTGACTATTCAACTTTACAGTTGAAACACAGCCAGCTGCCAACAGTATGTGAATGAATGGCCCTGGATATATTCTAATAAAACTTTATTTACAGAGCCAGGATGCCGCTGGATGCTGTGTGCCGGCTGTGGATTGCTGACCTTCTAGTGCTCAGTGGGCAAAAGTTTTCTGTCATTTCACCTCTCAGTTTGTTGTTGCTATAAACATTGAGTATTTCTGCCCTATTTGATTAGGCATTGGGGATTTTAGGATAAAACATTGGTAGAACTGATTGACTTTGGCCTTTTCAGAATTGGTACAATGAATCTCAAGCGAGAAAGAGCTAATTCTGTATTAGCTTTTTAAAAATAGTTTAAGTGTATGTGTGTGTTGCCTGCATGTGTGTTAAGTGTACCCGTGTCATGAAATGCCCGAGGAGGTCAGAAGAGGGCGTTGGATCCCCCAGAACTGGAGTTACTGAATGTTGCTAACTGCCATGTGGGTGCTGGGAATCAAACTGGGTCTTCTACCCGAGCAGCCAGTGCTCATACCTGCTGAGCCATCATTCCAGCCCCATCTTTAATAGAATTTGGATCAGAAGCTCATCTCTGTTTTTCTGTTCTGCAGATGCCTTGAACCTGGACAGTTTTACAGCAATTCTGAGGCTGGAACCCACGTTATTTTCCTGTGTGGCAAACCCAGTCCACGGTCTGTGTAAAAGATCCCAAAAGCGAGAAATAGGAGATGGGGCTTTGGATGTGACAAGGGGACCCAAGTGAGTTGGAGCTTATTCCTGCCTTTTACTAGTCAGATATTATCTGATGTTACCGCTGGTTTGCTGTGGAACTTTCCCATATCATTTCTCCAACTCTCTGAAGATTTACAATTTAGAAGAGAGATATTGCTTTGGCATTTCACAAGATCTGCACTGGGAACGCACTGGGTTTTTACTGCTAAGTTAAGTTAGGTGAAGGATGACCACACCTCTACGTCCGCACACTCCCGGTGACAAGGTTGTATTGCCCTGTATGTCGTGGTTCAATGCTCTTTTGTGCTCTGCCTTTCAAAGTGCACACACCGCTCCTAGGAAAATCTGGAAACTATCGGTGGAAACTGTGAGGACCAACTCCTTCCAGTCAGGTTTCCTTCCACTTTGAATTGCAAAATGTCCTGTTTTCCTTTGTGGCTTTTCTGTCCCTAGTAACTCTCTTTCCCGCTTGGTTTGCTAGGCTAGGGGTGGGGGACTGGGAACTGCGCCAGGGCCTGGGCTCCGCTGATTTGCAGTTTTCCACCTTCAGTAAGTTACTCCACTTGTTCCTGGCAGGTACCCACGCCTCACAGGTAGTGCCGGCCTCAGAACAGAGCTTCCAGGTTGCATCAGGATGAGTGATGACCTACGTGTGGGAGTAAGTATGAAAGGAGATCTCAGCTGCATATCAGAGCTGCCATTGTCGTCCACCCTCTTCCACGGCTGTCCTCTCCCTTCTTTTCTCTTTATAAAAAGTATTATGGGCTGGAGACATAGCTCAGAGGCTCAGAGCACTTGCTGCTCTTGCGGAGGACCCAGGTTCAGTTCCCAGCACTAACAACTGTCCGTAACTCCAGTTCCAGGGGATTTGACACCCCCTTCTGGCCTCTGATGGCATTGTATGACACAGGTGAATCTACATACATGTAGACATCACACTCATACATAGAAGAAACATTTTATGGGCACTGATACCCTGAAACTCAAGGACAGGAGAAATATCCAACTTTGAAGCCAAGAAGTTAGAACATAATTTGGGGACTTTCTACTCCTTGCACAGAACAAGTTCTGGGTCATATGACAAAAGGGGCAGCTTGAAGCATATTGAGCTTTGTGTTATATGTCTTGTTTTAGTACTTATTTATTTTAAATATTTATTTATTTTACGTATATGTGTGTATTGCCTGCATGTAGGTACGTACACCCATGTCGTGCAATGCCTGCAGAGGACAGAAGAGGCTGTTGGGTCCCCTGGTACTGGAGTTACAGACAGTTGTTACAGTTGTTAGCTGCAGTGTGGGTGCTGGGATTTGAACCTGGGTCTGTTGCTAGAACAGCCAGTGTTCTTAACCACTGAGCCATCTCTCCAGCCCCTGTTTTAGTATTTAAATTCTCAATGGAATTTAGAACTATCATGACATTAGAACTTGTTGATCATACTCTGCCTCCAACCATACAACAGTTATCTACTTTCTCTACAGAACTGGTTCTCCTGGATCTCTCATAAAAAGGGAATCAAACATCACCCTGCCTCTTGGGCCTGACAGTTTCAAATCAGCAGTAGGTTTTCAAGGTTTATCCACGTAAAGTGACCAGGTCCTCACTTGTCTATTCATTCACTGATTTATGGGCAGTTGAGTCATTACCACTTTGGGGCATTGGAAATAATGTTTTTGGGAACTCTGGAGCATAAGTTTTGTGTAATCATATTATATATATATATATATATTTGTCTTTTTGAGGCAGGGTTTCCCTGTAGCCCCAGTTAACCTGGAACTCACCATGTAGACCAGGCTGGCCTCGAACTCAGAGATCTGCCTGCCTCTGCCTCCCGAATGCTGGGACTAAAGGTGTGCGCCACCACACCTGGCTGTGTGATCACATTTTAAAATGCTTTTGCATGTAGCCCCATGAGTAGGCTTACTGCCTCATATTATATGCTATGTTGAACTTTTTGAAATGTGCAGGACAGATTCCCATGGCCTGTTCCATGCTCCTCAGCACCATCAGTGTCTGAGGATTCTAATTTCTCCAGATCATCATTCTGATCACAGCCAGCGAGAGGATGCAAAGCAAGGGCCCTCTGGGTTGTGATTTGCATTTCCCTTGAGATTGATGATGCTCATCATTTTTGCATAGGATTTTTAAAACTATTTAAAATTTTTTTATTTTATAAGTGTATTGTCTGGATGCACATAAGTGTGCCCCTGTTGTGCAGGGCCCACAGAGGTCAGAAGACGGTGTCAGATACCCTGCAACTGACATTACAGACAATTGTTAGCCACCACATGGGTTCAGGGAATGGAACCTGAGTCCTCTGCAAGAGCAGCCAGTGCTCTAACCACTGAGAAGTCTCTCCACCCACTTCCATGTGCTTGCTGGTCATTGCATTTCTTCCTTGGGAATAAACTGAGATCCTTGGATCGTTTTAAAAGTGGGTGCACTTTTTTTTCCCAGGACTGAGTTGTATGAGCTGTTTTTATTCCTTCTAAGTGTCTGCATCTGATTTCTTTCTCTTCATTGGCACCTGTCTTACTGAGCAGCTAAGAAGCAGGAAATGAATCCACTTTGCTATTAGCAATTCTTCTAAAGTTTTAATACAGGAAGTTGAACTTAGATGCGCACAGGATGTCTGGTTATTAGTAATTTCCCCTTCATCAGACACCAGTTTTACAAAAAAGGAAGAAGCATCAAAATGAGTTGCGCACTGGGCACTCTGAGGGAAAGCGGTCGTGCACATTAGCCCTCTCCAGGGCCTAAGTAGTGGGTAGTTTCTGCTTTTGCAAAAGAGACACTGGGGTTTAAGGAGTTAAATCACTCACTCAGGATCATGCAGCTAGTAAGTAGCAACATTGGGTTTCAAATTCAGGTTTGTGTACCTTCAAAGGCTCTGGCTTTTCAACAGCCTCTCTTGGTATACTGAATTTAGACACCTTGATTGTAACAGTCACTCGTGGCTATGTTGAAAGTGGTCTGATGGTTAAGAAATGTGTTGCTGTGTACATCTGACAGGATCTCCTTACCCACTCACTGGGATCTATGGCTCAGTTGTTTTGTCTGTGGTCTTGACACCCACTCAGAAATGGAGCTCCCAGAATCGCAGTAGAAACTTCTATAGGGTGCTGCTGGGGGATGTGTGGGTCCCCTGAGAGATCTCAGGGTGTCTTGCTAGCCCTAATCTGTCAGCTGTACTTTATGGCCCAAACCCCAGTGACACCTACAGTCTATAGCTGTCTCCTCACTGGTCCTCTAAACAAATACCCACCCACAAGCCATCCCTTTAGCTCTCTATCCCATCTTTGAGATAACGGTAAGTTCTGACTCTAAGCATCCTCACAAATTTTAAGTGTAAGGGATTAGAATAAATACAAAATTAACATAGGCAGCACCCATAACCATGATCTTCCCAGTAAAGGCAAGGGTGCTGTTTCCCTAACCCCTTGGCTTCAAGCCATGGGTCTCTGTCTCTACAGTCACACGATAAACAACTTGACCTTCTATTCGGGCCTCTCCCGTACTTGGTTACACTGACATTTCTCCCTTTATCTCCCCAAGTTGTCTTGGTTGTTGGTCTCTGTACCTCCGCCAAATCAGACAGGGCATATTGTTACGATAAATCACATAGCCCTGTTGGGGAATTTCTCTGCCCAGAATACTGTGTTTCTCCATTTATCAAAATTCTATTTGGTCGTCAAGGCTGATCTCAAAAACCAACTGTTTCACGAAACTTTCCTCTGGCGACATGAAGTGTCAGCTGTCAGGAATCTCCAGTTCTTGAGGTAGAACTCACTAAGGATCAGGGTTTGGAGATCAGTTCCCTGGGCTACCTTGTTGTGTTCTGGAGAAGTCACTGGCCTTCAGCCCTTCATCAGTTGACTCTTTGACTCCTTTCTTTGAAACCCTAGCAACTTTTTTGAATTGAAATTAATTAGATTTTTCAAAACTTATTTTGGTAGGAGTGCATGTGTCGTGTTCTATGTTGAAGTCAGAGGATTTGATAGAGTGAGTTCTTCCTTTCCACCATGCGGGTCCTGGGGCTCAAACCCAGGTCACCGGGTTGCCGAACACCTTTGCACACTGACTCACTTTGCCTCCCAAATTAGATTATTGAAAAAGTCTTATAGTCCACATTGTAGAACGTACTAGGTAGCCCAGACTGTCTGCAGATTTTTGATCCTCCTGCCTTTGCCTCCTGAGAGCTGGGATTATAGGCATGGACCACCATACCCAACTCAATGCCCCAGGAATTCTGTCTGCTCTTTCCAGCTACATTTTTATTATATTGTAGTCATTAATTTTTTTTGTCTTTTTGACAGGGTCTCCCTGTAGCCCCAGCTGGCCTAGCACTCACTATGTAGACCAGGCTGGCCTCAATCTCAGAGATCTACCTGCCTCTGCCTCCCAAGTGCTGGGACTAAAGGCGTACACCACCACACCTAGCATCATTAATTTTCTCAAATTTTTTATTACATTTATGTGTATGTGTACCTGTGCGTGCGTGCGTGCGTGCGTGTGTGTGTGTGTGTGTGTGTGTGTAGGTCAGAGGGCAACTTACTGGAGTCCTCTCCTACCGTGTATATCCTGGGGCTCAAACAGGTTGTCAAGCGTGGTGGCATGCACCTTTACCTGTTGAGCCATCGTGCCAGTTCCCTTACTTTTCAATCCTGTGTCAGATGAGAACCCTTCTTTGATCACTCGTCAGAGTGTCCCTGACACCCTGCGTAGACATGAGGTGTGGTGGCTGCCCCTTAATATCCATTTTGTAATCGCTGTGGGCTGTAAACGCGAACCGGGAATGGTCAGGTTAGCCACTGCTGTCCTCTCTTCCCTTTGACTTTCCCAAAGACTTGGGGTGTGTTTTCTGCTTCTCCTGGTAGCTACAGTGGAAGCTGGATTCTATCACCATAGGTCATGTGGAAAATAAATCTGAATTTTAGTGATCGTGACAGCGTCTTTGAGTGGGAGAAGGAGTCCTGCAAGATGAGCGTCTCAAGATGAGCGTGGTGTACTGCTTGGGAGCCCAGTTTGGGATGTTCTGGAGAGCGGAACTTGCTCATGGACCAAGTGAACTAGTTGATTAGAAATACTTCTGTCCAGTGAGGAGAGACCGGAGCATGGATTATACTGAGGGATCATGGATGAAGTGTGTTATCTGAGATTCACTTCACGGCAGTGCAGGGGTAGGGTTAGTATGTGGGAAAATAGATCGGCCAGAAATTGATAGTTGTTGAAACCACGTGACTAGTCACAGAAAAGCAAACCCTTCTGCTACTCTGCATCTATTTGAAATGTATTTATCAATTTTCAGCCACATGGGCTAAGCTTTGGAATCCCGCAGACTTGAAGGTGGGCTCCATTTCTTATCCACTGTGTGAACTTGCACAAGTGACCTCCTCTGTTTGAATCTGCTCCTGTCCTCTGTGAAAGGCCACGTTATTTTGCAGGGCCTTTTGAATCGCTAAATACATACATGAAACATGTTCCTATACATACCTGCACATATGTCTCTTTATAGCCAAGTTCTGGCCTGGCAGTTCTCGGAAACAAACCAAGGGGTTCCAGTGTAGAGGAAAACCATGGCTTCTGTGATCCAGTCTCCCTCTTGCCTATGAGCAGTGAGGCCTACCTTTTGCATGGAGCCTCTTCCCAGCATCTCTG